AAAGAATATAAAGCCTAAGTCTTATTCACCCAATGGCTGGCTTTTCCCCCAACCTTTATTTTATTAACAGGTAAACTAAACTATTTAACGGTTACAGTTCTATTTATTAGAACTGCCATCACAGAAGAGAAATCTTACTAATCCCTGGTAAAAGAAACATTTTAAGTAATGTGAGATTCGAAAAGAACCCAAATCTACTATTGCAATCAGTCAAAAAGTATTTATCAAGAACCCAATGATCCCTTCATACCTATTAGGATGATCACAATTTAAAAAAACGACAAGTACTGGTGAGGATATGGAGAAACTGGAACCCTATATATTATTGGTGGGAATGTAAAATGGTGCAGCTACTATGGAAAGGTTTGGAAGTTCCTCAAAAAGCTAAAGCTAAAATTACCATAGGACTCAGCAATTCTGCTCCAAGGTATATACCTAAAGTAACTGACAACAGGGACTCAAATAGAAACTTGTACACCAATACTCACTGGAGCTTTATTCACAAGAGCAAAAAGGTGGAAATAACCCCAAGTGTCCATCAACAGATGAATGGATAAATAAAAGGTGGGAGGTCCATATAATGGATTATCAGTCAAAAAAAGGAATGATGTTCTGATACATGCTACAACATAGATGAATCGTGAAAACATTATACTGAAGAAAGAAGTCAGACACAAAAGGACAAATATTTCAATATCCAGAATAGGTGAATTAATAGACTGAAAATAGATTAGAGGTTACCAGGGGCTAAAATAAAGGAGAAATTGGGAAGTACTGATAAATGGTTACAGAGTTTGTTTGGGATGATGAAAATTGTTTTGGAAATATGGAGCAGTGATGGTTGCACAACACAGTGAATGTAATGGATGCCAATGAATTGTGCACTTAAAAAAATCATTAAAATGGCAAACTTTTATAATATATAACATACCCAAACCACTGAATTGCACACTTCAAATGGGTTTTATGTTATAGGAGTTGTAACTCAAACTTTTAGAAAAGAATCCAACAGACTAGGGGTTGCAATCATAATTGGAATCATTTATATCAAATAGTCTAAAATCTGAGAGTAAAGCAATTACTGTGCTCATCCAGGCAATGTTTAGTTGTGAAAGCAACTTGCAGTGATGTCCATTGTTTGATGACATCAGACTTCTCTAATTCTGATACAGTAATTTACAAGAATCTATGATAAAACCTAGCTCAGTAACAACTATTTAAACACAAAATACAATATATGTATCACAAAATATGTGACTTGACTATGGTATCAATAAAGCTTCTGGTCAACAGTAAGCTATTAAGTTTTGGGAGAAACAAAAGGGGTGTGTGTGTGTGTGTTTTGTTTTTACTCAGGAAGTGGTTTGCACCCTTGATCCCTGTGAAGTTAAAGGGTCAACTGTACTTTAGATGAATGATTCCCAAATACCAGTGTAAGACAACGCCTGTGACGGAAACTTACACAAGCAAGGACCACGACAAGCCTGTTGATCTGAAGTATTAACTACAAATCACTCTTATTTCTTAAAACAAGATTTTAACTAGGCAACAGGGGCAATACTGGGGTCTTGGCAGTTGGCAGAAAGCCAGGGATGGCTTATTCCCACTTCTGCTCAGGGTTTTCACCTGCATGCCTACTCTATTTTTTTTAAATTTCCACAAATTTTACTATAGCAGGCTAACTCTCAATCTCACTCACCATATTTGATTTACACTCCAAAATTACAAACAAATCCTAAAAATAGCTGGATACTTTGGAATATTAACACCACCTTCATGGGAAATAGAAAACTGCCCGTATGGAAATTACAAACGTGTAGGAAGGGTGAAGGGTAGGTCAGATACTTTGTTGTCAGGTTCAAGAATGAATGGGGTTTCTAATCATGTGGATTAATGGGACCATAGATAACCTGAAGGGACGTCTGGGTTTTGGTTATTTTTAGCTTCATTGGGGAGTTTTTGCTGTAAAAACAAAATATACTATATTTACTTTAGAAGATTTGAGTAACCTCCTGATAAAAGTTCAGTATTACCACTTAATTCAATCTGAGCATGTTTTTCCATAAAAGTATCAAATTGACGCATAATCCAGAGATGGAAGAAAATAGATTAAAAAAAAAAATCAGGCATTTGGGAGAAGACTAATTATTAATACTAATAACTGTACCAAACAGTAACCAAGAGAGAGAAGGAGGTGCAGAGAAGTTGTTCGTGACACCATGAACTGTTCTAGATAGAGTTCCTTACTGGACTGAGGCTTTAGTTTCTCAATAGTGGAATGAAACAAAACATGACAACATGGAACTTTCCCCCAAAGGAGTGTGAGGAAACGCTTTTAAGAGAAGGCTGAACAAATGACATGAGGGGAATAAATTTTGTAACGGCTATGAGCCTCGTATGTTTTTAATTCACCAATTAGAAAGATGACCTGAAAAGAGCATAATATGTTGGGCCATAGAGAAAAGCAGTCAGCCTCGTGATTAAGTAAATTATCCCAAACGGGCTCATTTTCTCTGTAGAGAAAAGAAACCCTGCCCCACTGTCACACAGGCCAAACTTTATCATGGCCATTTGTCCTGGACCATGTAAGTTAAATAGTCTGTCACTGCCATCAGGAAAAATGCAGCAGCATTCCATGGACCAAGTGAGCAGCAAGATGCTGAACAAAGCAGACAGGACGAAGATGCAGAAGGCTTCCTTCTAGTTGTAGCTTTAAACCTAAGCTTCCTGACCGAGCCATCCATCCTTTCGAGGTCTCCGTTCCCAGAACAAGAGGATGGTTTCTAAGGTACAAAGGCCTCTAATACCTTATATATAATAAAAGTTAAACATGTCAAGAAATCAAGCATGAGCTCAGTAAATGCCTACACTCATGAGTCAGCCTCTGAGCAGAAGAGAGCTCAGGTTCAGTAATTCACAAATAGTAAGTCACCCTTAGATCCACAGAATTTGAACAGTTTCGCTTGGAGTTCTTCCCAAGTTATTAATACACGAGCAACCAAAGAACATTAATGACTAAGGGAAAAGAAGCTGCTAAAGGAAAGCTCACTGTCAATGAAAAAGGAGGAAGAGCCAACCTAAAACCAGATGTCAGGACACGCAAGCACAATGACCTGGGGCCGGTTGGCCTGAGGATGGACTTGAACACCTCACCTCCACTGCTATGGTACAGGAGGGCTCCAAACCTGATTCCTGGAATGGATATAACCCTTGTGCACCAAGAAAAATTGAAATTGTTTGCTATACTCCTGCTTACTGAGGCAAGGAAACACAGTTTATGACCATTTAGGCAGTTTGAAAACAAGCTTCCATCAAACAAAAACACAAACCCTAGCCCGTAAGGGAAAGTTGCCTTCGTCAGATGACAGAAGTCACTATAAAAGCCTAGTGCTCCTCAGACAGTCAAGGCAGGCCGCAGAGAACCAATTCTGTAAACAACCTTCAACTGCTGTTACTTCCTTTAGAAGAACAATGAAAACAACATGGTGAAAACTTCACCTAACTTTCAAAGATCCAGAATAGTTCTGCAGTTAGAAACGTGCTACCTGGTAAGAATGAAAGGATACCAGGATCTAAATAAAAGCCTAGTTTTATTGAGAAGCTTAAAATTTGGTTATACTGAGAAAATTCTGGCTCCATCTAGGTAATGATAAAAATCAAAATAACTTTTATATCAAAATATTCAATCATACGCCGTGTTTCACTATGTACCACTGGTACACGATAAACAACTGGTTTGTATTTTGTTCTGTGGAAGACAAACAGGTTAAGGCAGCAGTTTCTCTGACCAGAAGGTTATTCGCCCAAATCCAGGAAAATCCTGAGCTCTTCGGAGTTCCTGGATTCCAAAGACGATCATGAAAAACCAACAGTAAGAAGCAAACCATGTCTTCTGAGAGTGTGTGTGGTTTTTTCCAAAGCCTGAAAACCTTTCAAGATTGTGCCACAATGACACCATTATGCTGAGGAAACGGACCCCTCTGGAGGTCTTTCCCTGCGGCCTCCAACTCTCCGGGATACCATGTCTCTCCCACAGCCCTCCCTCAGCACAGTCTGCTCTAGCATCCAGGGGCTCAAAGGAGCAGCCGGGAGGGCACCTGTAGATTCCATAGCCTACACTATGACCCTCAGATGGCAACCAGTCAAGTGGTCACTTGCCTTTTAAGAAGCACCCTAAACCCTTTTGGCCGCCTTCATCGACCCTTATTTCATGGCCACTTAGGCCGGCGGCCTGGAGCAGGAGGGAGCCAGACTTCTTCCCTCCAAGTCCCTTCACCTCAGGAGCAGCCCTCAGCATCTGGAACTCGGATTCTGCTTCCTTTCACCTTCTCTCAGCTGGGTTCCCCTTAAATTGTTTTGGTTTTCAGCACACTAAAGTGGAAAAATATTTTCTAAAATGAAGCTGGCAAAAGCTTCAAAACATATGGCAGACGAGACGCCTACAAACCAAAACAGGTACCTCCACTCAACTCAACTGACAACCATTTGCCACAGCACAATGCAGAATGTCTTTGGGGAAAACAGTGAGAGGAAGGACTATAAGCTTAAAAAAACAAGACAAAAAAAATCCACCAAACAACAACACACACACATACACACACACACAAACCCACACAGCTAAAATGGAAACCTCATATGAGAAGGAAAGCCAAGTTTTCATCTACTCTTGGGTTAGGTTTAATCTCTGAGAGTATGACAATGGCTAAACCAAGCTGCACATTACCATGGGCGGAGACCAAGCTCAATTAGAGTAAGACATTGGCAGGTATTCTGAGCATTACAGTAAAAGCTGGAGAAGAGCAAAGCATTATTCAGTAGTTTGCACATCGGACCACAATTCAAGAAAAAAATCTCTTCAGATGGCTAATTAAATGGATGAATCCCTCCTATCAGAATGAGCAGTCACATTCCCTCCATGTGATTTCCTGTCCAAAGAGCTTCTACTGCCTCCCACCACCACCTCACAAGGAAACACCAATGATGACATCATTACTACTTACATTCAAAGCATTCTTTGCAGCTTCTGCTTCTGAGCGACTGTCAAAACTGACAAAACCTACGGGCTGAGGAAAGAAAAAAAAACATGAACAAAAAGCAAATCAGGAGATATCTATTTTTCTGGGTCAAAGGTGATGTCAAACCAAAGAGCTAAGATAAAGAAATGACCACAGGCAATGGGTAGAAATAAGAAAGCCAGTTCAAAAGAATCATGACGCAGTGGCTTAGCCAAATTTCTAACATGAATCAAAAGGGACTGTGAGGGTGGTTCTTCAAGGGCACAGCTGGGGATTTAGAGAATCATTAAAAAAAAAAAAAAATTCTAGAAGGGATTGGAAGGTGAGCAGCAGTGGACAAGAGAATAGAGGAAAACTTGGGTCGAGAGGCTCTACTTTCCTAAATCAAATTCACTGTACCTCAGTTTCTTCATCTTTTAAAATGGAAAGAGAACCAAATCACCTTTCGGTACACTGTAAGTGCAAGGAATACGATGACACAATGACACAAGCCCTGTACACGCTCGCCGCATGATCAGAACTATAAAATGCACATTTCCAGCTCAAATCCCAAGGGATACCTTTAAAACGTCTTGTGTTTAACTAGGTGTGTAAACCAAATTGTTCCAACTCAACAGAGAGGGGTGATAATCCCTTTGGACTCAATCTTTCAGTCCAGAAAGATGCTCAGAACATAGCTTATTCCTGACAAATCAGAGAATACCTTACCGAGAGACGAAAAGCGACTGAGAGGTGAGCACGCTGGGTATTCAGCATTTTGGCAGTAAAAAAGCCTAAAGCCAAATATTTCAAGCAGTCTGTAGAAACTATCAGTGTCACTGACTACCACTCTTCATCCTGCCCCTCCTGTGCTCTACCCTAGACTTGGGACTCTGCCTGTGGTTATTACAAGTTTGAAACACAGCATGATTCTCCACCAACAGATACTTACACGCACTGTGAACGCTTGCCTGTTTGACCTTATTTTTTTAAAAAAAGGAAGGATCGGGAATAAAAGTGGGTTTGGATGATTTCTTTTCAATATACGAACCAATCCCAATATAATCATGCTGTCTGCCTTCCTCAGGGATGGTCCCAGACATCCCAGCTGGAGACAACAGAATTATAAATCATTTTCCTGTCCTATTTCCTAACTAATCTCACACTGAATTTTAAATGAACAACAAAAATTAAATTGAGAATTATGAAGGAGAATGCTGAGACCCAGTAACTTTCTAGAAGATCAATTCAAATTTATTGTGGAAGTGATCATTTATATGCAAGTTTGAAATTCTTACCTGCTTAGATGTGAGCTTTATAAGAGAACCCTCGTAGCCCTGAAAATTAAGAACCAAATTTAGATGAAAAAAAATTACTAGGAAAAAAAAAATCAACTGTAATAGCATCTTGCAAAATTACTAGGAAAAAATAAACCCAACTGTAATAGCATCTTGCTCAAGTAAAAATGAGTCCATTATGACTACTGATGAACTCTTCTTACAAATGCCTCAAAGTAACTGAGAAGGCAGATTTTACAGACATAAGCACATATGTGCTGATCCTTCCATCCTTAAGGCCTAAAACAAATCATACCTTGAAATTTATGCACATGTATCTAGGTTTGTTTTCCTTTTTTCCATGAAATTGTACAATGGTAGAAAAACAGGTTCTTCTGTCAACAGATCTTTCTCATTTTACAGAATCAGAATAGTGAAGGGAGTAAATTTAATAAGACAGGAAGATAAGCATGTGAGGACTTGGTCATGTGTTTGCTATAAAATGACATTAAAACATTAAGAATGTCCTACGTAGAACTTACTACTCGAAATTTCAAAACTGCCGGGAAAAGTTACACAGGTAGCGACACTAAATTCTTCTGAGTTATTCCGCTTACTTCCTGAAGCGGCTAGTTTTCATTCTGGTATTCTGACTGGGACATTACGAAAATCCCCTGTAGGGCTCTTACTCCAGCCCATCCTCAAGGAGGATAGAAACCCTCCCTTTGCACTCCCTTCACCCCTCCTGGCTCCTCAGGAGAAGGATAACAAAGTGTGTTTATTTCTGAAAATAATCAATGGCTGGTGGCTTGCACTGATGGATGACACAAGGGGGAAAAACACCACTTGACATGACTGACCACTGCACAGATCAGTGCCAAGACAGATTTGCAGACTGGGGTCAACCTCCGGGGACTTTAATTAAAAGAGGGTTGTTAGGAATGTACCAGGGTCCTGACTCTTGCGTTGGGGTTTCTGGGCAGGATGTTGGGATTGATTCATCCTCCTATCTTCCCAGCAGAGAACTATGTTACCAATTAGCTACTATAAACATTTTACCTCAAAGACCTTGAGCTCTTCTGGCCAGAGAGGTCATGATTCACAGCCCTGTCTCTTCCTTTCTCAAGGTGCTTTCTCTCCGAAAAACCTGGAGGTTTAAACACCCTGAAGGCCTCAGAGGCAAAGGACAAATGGATATTTCACTCAAGCACACCACCACTGGTGGCAATGAATTGTGCGATCTCACAGACTACTTTAGCACGGACGGCAGTCAGACTGCTTGGGTTTGAATCCTAGCCCTGCCATCTATGAAGTGTGACCTTGAGCAAAATTTATTCAGTTGCTCTAAGTTTCATTTTCTTCATTGGAAGAATGGAGGCCAACCCCCTTTAAAGGGTTATGATAAAAATTAAATGGAATTCTTATGAGGGGCTTGCGGGCTAAATCTCCAGTATTTTGTCCATTAATAAGATCAACTCGCTTCAAAAATCCCCATCTGCCTGGGTGGCTCAATCCTAAGTATCTGCCTTCGGCTCAGGTCATGATCCCAGGGTCCTGGGATCGAGCCCTGCATCCTGCTCCCTGCTCAGTGGGAAGCCTGCTTCTCTCTCTCCCATCACCCTCCTCGGTTGTATTCTCTCTCTCCCTGTCAAATAAATAAAATCTTAGAAAAGTCCTCATCCTACGAAAGGGACAAATAGTAAAAATGGGAACCCTGCAGAAGATACTCAGGAAATTCTACGAAGCCAAACCCCATCCCCAGAGTCTTCTCTTTCTTTCCCACTTCCTTGTGGCTGACCTCACGTCTAACCCTTCTATTTCCCCCTGTACTGTCATCACTGCTACAGTAAGAGGATGGGTGCTGGAACAGAGGTAGGTCTATTATTACATTATTACCTTCCCGGCACATAAGTTAAACTCTTAGCTTTGCTGGCTTTAACCTGGCTGCCCCTCCCACCTGTCTGCCTCTCCTACCCAGCTGTTTCCAGTGGTCACATCGCTCTCCCCTTAAAGGCTAAGATCCTGTCCCTCAACCTGTCTTGCCTCTGTGGCTAGGGTCCTGCTTCAACAGGATGGAGCTTTAATCATTAATCAGGATGGTCTGCCACCCAATCCTAAGGGGACCCCTGGCCAGGCACTGCTGCTACCATGTTCTCAGGGACCAGACACAAGCCCTCAATTTATCATGACTTCTGAGTGTTCCCCTTGAGGGCCGAGGCCTCCGGCCCACAATCCTCCCAGTCCCAGTTTTCTCTCATTCTCCATAGGTTAGCCTTCAAGGTTTCTCCTGACAGCACGGTTATTTCAGCTTTTGTCCAATTTCCTGTTAAGTTTTCAATTCTAGCAACATTAACTATCTCTCAAGTGACTGTATCTCAGTAGTCCCCATGGACAGGCAACTGAATTAAAATACTATACTAGGTACCAGCATAACAAGTAATTCCTTAAAAGTTCATTTTACTTTGTTTGAAATTTAGGACATTCTTCCTACAGAAAAAATAATGGTGGTCAGGTTCTCAATCTGGTTTATCAAAGTATAATCAACTTACTAGTCTTCAAAGAATAACATTAGCACTATTTCAACTAATAAGAAACCTTGCAGAACAGGCCTTGACTTATGTTATTTTACTGGGAATATTATAAATAACAGGAATTGATAGTGTTTTTGGTGAGCTGTAATCAGAAGAACACTCCCATCGGAAAATGATAAACAGGGAGGACACTAAAACTGTTCAAAACAGAGCCAGACACATGTCCCCATTACTAGGAAGCAAAGAGACTTTTCTAGATCAGCTATTGGGAAGGACAAAAGGCAATTTCAGTCTTTTCTGAGGCTGCACACCTGAACTGAGTTGTTAAATCTCTTTTACTAACTAAACTTTAAAAAGGGGGGGGGGGTCACTTTGTAAGATGCTTTCTCAAACGTATTTCCTCCTGCAGAAAGCCCCCTTTTTGCTTATTTATAAATGAGCCCTTTATAGCTTATTTATACACACACTTTTTGTCTCCTTTTATTAATTTCTGAAAGAGAAAAGGTACCTTAAATGGTCTGAAAAGCAGATAGAGCTCCCGAGGTTTGATATCCAGAGGGAGACCACTGACAAATAGGGTCCGGACCTGGAAAATAAATAAGAGACGTGATCACAAGACTATACAACCTGAGGAACAGCTCTCACTTGTCACCTCAAAAACACAAGTCTTCATATATTTCACAAACCCTATGTAATTCATGTTCTTTCCGTAGCCCAATGAACACTCTCATCTTAAGACACCATTAGACCAACTCTTGGGTATTTCTATGGGATGACTCAGAGTGAATTACTTCCAGCTGATTTAAATTTACAAACTGATTTCTCCTTCCCCAATTAGCCATTACCTGGTTCTGACATTATGAAGTAAAGAGAAGGAGGTCTACATAGTTAAAATAGCAGTTTAAGGAAGGAAAAAAAAAAAAAAGGTCACAAGAACAGTAAACTTACCACTTCTTTGCTCTCAATCAAATGAACACAGAACACGGTTCAAAAATAAAATCAGAACGATTTTCATTTTTTTCTGCTTGTCTTGTCCTTGCCTCCGTCATCGGCATTAAGAATTAGTCATTTTCAAAAGTGTCTTATTTTTAAGTCATCTCTACACCCAACATGGGGCTTAGACTTACAACCCTGAGATCAAGAGTCACGTGTTCTATTGAGCCAGCCAGATACCCCAATAATTTTAATCCATGTAAAAAAGAATCCAAACATATCTAAATAGTAGCCAAAATGTAGAACTCTTCATCTCTTCGGTTCCGAAACAGCAGGGAGGGAAGACCTCACTGACCTATAACCCATCAGGCCGAAGATACAAATTACATGATTAGAGTCTACTAAAATAGAGAACACAGATGACACACTTTCATTTAGGAGATCAGAGAAAACATGTTAGCATTTGACTGGGAACTTAAAGGATGGGTAAAATTTCACCACATGGATATAAAAGGTGAGAGGAAATGGAAGAGACTCGGAGGCAAAGAAAAGCATTAACCAAGCCGGTAAAGGGGGAGATACCTCAGAATATTCTGGGAGAAGGCGAAGCCGAACCAAATCAAAGCTGAGGTTCGAACTACAGGGGACACCACAAGTCACTGGCTCAGAATCTGGTCTTCATCCAACGGGCAAAGAGAAATCACCGAATGAATGGTCACCACCATGTTTTCTCTCTACTTATTTTAGCTAGCGTGCCTTTAAGTTTTCTAATCCCCCCCACCCCAACATTGAAATGTAATGGACATATAACAATGTGTTAAGTTTAAGATGTACCATGTAGTGATTCACTAAGCTTATATATTACAAAATGATTGCCGCTATGGTGTTAGCTACTGCCTCCATGGTGTCCTAGATTTAACCACTTCTTTTTGGGGGTGAGAACATTTAACATCTACTCTCAGTGACTTTTGAGTATATAGAATACAGAATTGTTACCTCTAACCACAATGCTGTGCATTGGATCCCCATAACGTACTCAACTTCTAACTGGACATTTGTAATCTTTGACCAACTTCTCATTTCCTCCATCCTGATCCCCTGGTACCCACCATTCTGCTGTTTCTAGGAGTCTGACTTCACCCCCACATTTTCTATTCCTCTTCTCTACTCCGGCTGATACAACATGATTGAGGTCCTCATTAGAAATCATGTTGCTACTTAAAAATTCAATGCTCAGTTGTTAACTGTCTGTAACTCTAGATTTCCTCCCTCAGTATGAAAGGGAGATCTTCTAGAACCCTAACGTTTTCCATTGATTCTGGCTGTAAAGAAGCACACATCAGCAAGGAAGGCCCTTTTATTGATGGCAGCACACAGTAGAAGGTCATGCCATCTGCGTACAGGTGTATAAGCAACACTATGATGATGTAAACAGCCTCAGAATCATGAAGGCCTTGTTTTCTTGTTATTCATTCATATTTTAGATAGATTTGTTGTGCAATTGTTGATATGCAGTTGACCTTTGAACACAGGTTTGAACCGTGTGGGTCCATTTACAGGCAGATTTTTTCCCCCCAATAAATGGAGTAAAATAAGTGTACTTTCTCTTCCTTATGATTTTCTTAATAACTTTTTCTCTAGCTTATTTTACTGTAAGAATATTGTATGAAATACATATAATATACAAAATCTGTGCTAATCAAGTGTGTGTTGCCAGTAAGGCTTTCAGTCCACAGCAGGCTATGAGGAGTTAAGTATTAAGGGAGTCAAGAGCCGTATGTGGATTTCTGACCGTGCAGGAGATCCGTGCCGTCTGGCCCCCACATGGATCACGGGCCAACTGTGTAATAAACTGTCCTCTTTGTTTACAGCGTGGTAAGTGTTTGACCTATGCATAACCTGTGAAACCACCACAGTGATCAAGATAGTAAACAGATCTACCATCTCTAAGTTTCCTGCCACCCTGGTTCTACCGTCCGCATCCCCAGGCAATCACCAATCTGCCTTCTGCCACGATTAATTGGTACGTATGCTCTAAAGGTTTATACAAACGGAACCATAATGTATCCTTTTTGTCTGGCTTTTTGACTTTTGTGTAACTATTGAGATTCACCCACTGTTGGATGTATTCACAGTCGGCTCCATAGTCTGCTCCTTTGCACTGCCGAGTAGTATCCTGTTGTATGGATATACCACAGTTCGTTTCTCCATTCACTTGATGGGACATTTGGGTTACTACTAGTTTTTGGCTTTTACAAATACAACGGCTAGGAGCATTCATGGATCAATTTGTACAAGTCTTTGTATGGATGTATGTAGGTTTTCTTTCTTCCTGGTTCATTCAATACCTAGGAGTGGAATGGCTGAATGATAGGGTAGGTACATGCTTAACTCAAAAAACCAAGAAAACAACACACTGGCCCTTCAATTCCTTGTTTTAGGGCCCAGAACATGATAAATGCTGTGTACTTAGAAACAAATGTGTATTCTGCTGCTCTTGGATAGTGTGTTTTACAAATGTCCATTAGGGAAAGTTTGTTATTCAATGTATCTTTTGCCTTCTCCCAACTCCCTCAACTTCGCCAGTGATGAAGACTCTTTTTCCAGGAATTTGTTCTATCAAAGCTAAAGCCGAATTATGGACAAGTGCAAAAGACACAGCTGATGAGGGAAACCTGGTCTTCGGTGTGCCCTCCCTGCATCTACAACCCTCTTCCCACAGTCCAAAAAAGTAAATACCATCTGTCCTTGGCTGCTCTAACCAGGACAACTTGAGTAGAGAAGGAATCCCAGCTCGCATTCATTCAGATTTTGCTGAGTACCCAATCCAACATCTGACACTGTGCCAGGGGTTGACTGGATTACAGAGTTTTCTGAGGAAATAATGCAATAAGCAGATCCTATGGTTTAAGCCCTGGAGTTCCCATTGTCCATCAGGGAAGCTTAGCTATATAACAGGTATCAGTTAAAATTCAGGGAGTTAACTTAGAAAATAAACTACCATTTATAGTATTATTCTAAAGAAAAAGCCCACAAACTTGCAAGCCAAACAATTTACCAACAAAATACAATAGAACTCTGGGGGTTATCAACAAAATATTACTTGATACAAGTTAAGGTTCATAAACATCAATAAAATGTATTATGCAACCAATAAAAATTATGTTCAAGAAAAAAATTACATTCAAGGAAAAAGTTTGATTTTATTCTGTAAAACAAACACTGACACACATACGTATTAAAATAGGGATAACACACCTTTGCATAGACACCAAAATAGTTATATTTATAGAATTTACCCGGAGTGGTAAAGTGATTCTAATGTTTATTTGCTTATTTATATTTTTTCTATAATACACATATATTAGATACTTTGTTAGATTAAGAACTATTTTTTATTGTTTCCTTTAGGAAACTATAAACAATGTCAATATTTACACCAATAAAAACAAAGTTCATGGAGGGAACTTTTAATGTAAATATTTCAGAATTAGAAGTGATTCTTATTTTAATATCTCGAACTATTATACATGAAAAAAAAGAAAACCCAGAACTCCCATTAACCCTAAGTTTGCCAATCACCCACAGATGACAAGAAGCTCAAAGCAACTTTTTTTTTTAAGATTTTACTTATTTGAGAGAAAGAGTGAGAGCTTGCGGGAGGGCGGCAGGTGTGGAAAAGCAGGCTCCCCACTGAGCAGGGAGCCCCATATAGGCCTTGATCCCAGGACCCTGAGATAAATGACCTGAGATGCTTAACTGACTGAGCAACCCAGGCGCCCCACAACTCGGTTTTGTTCATCAACTGGAGGCAACTAAAATGTCCGGCATTTTATTTACATAAATATGAGTTACACCTTCTATAATCTAACAAATCTCATGGTCCCAAAAACCTGCCAGGATCTCTCATCTCTCACTCAAGAGATATTCTCTCCTCTGACAGAACAAACTGACTAGCAGAAATAATTTTTCAATACTTACACACCTATGAATACAACTAAAGGTCACTTTAATCCAAGTGCTTGGAATCTACAAGCTTTGAATCCTTTCTAGACCTCCTCAGACTCGGAAATTAAGTTAAAAAAAAAAAATCATGGATAATATACGAGAAAAAACCCTTCCTGAATATCTAATTCATGTTTTTCTATAGTGACTGGGACCTAGATCACAGGGATATTTGAAAACAGCTTCGTTTCCCCACTCTTCTCCCTCCGACACTTTTTATCTTAGCCATTAAATAGAGAACACTTGTGCCATGTCTGAGGAAATCACAAAGTTGAAACGTGATTCCTTTTTTTTTTTTTTAAGATTTTATTTGACAGAGAGATCACAAGTAGGCAGAGAGACAGGGGGGAGTAGGGCTCCCCGCTGAGCAGAGAGCCCGTTGCGGGGCTCGATCCCAGAACTCTGAGATCATGACCTGAGCCGAAGGCAGAGGCTTAACCCACTGAGCCACCCAGGCGCCCCTAAAATGTGATTCTTGCTTGCAGGGAGGTTTCAGTTAGTGAAGGCAACAGTACATAAAGGACCATCTACGTGAACAGGAAGCTCGGTTCATTCACAAAGTAACCAAGAGTGAGAATAAAGTTCGAGACAGGTAAATAAATGATCAAACACTCAGGTTATGGGGGAAAAAAAAAAAAAAAGTGTTCC